TATCTTAAAAGCAGAAGATTAATAGCCGTTTCTACCAATGTACATTAACTTTAATCTCGGTTCAATTTATTCTCCATCTTTTTTTTAATTCTTAAAACTAGAAAAAGATGAAGAGTTAGTTGAAACAAGATTAAAATTGAACTACATTGATAGAAACGGACATTAGAACCGAACATATTTCATCTTTGGATAAATAATATAATAATTTATCTAATGATAATCAAAAGGATAAACAAAAGAGTAAAAGGATAAGAGCATAAAGAGTAGGAGAATTAGAGAGTGAGCTAAAGTTTATCGAGAGATGAAACAACCCAGCCTTATACAATCTTCCTGCTTTAAAGGTACGTGAAGTCGCTCATTTCAGAGAGACGTCGTTTTCCCGAATGAAGATTCATTCGCGGGAGTATTAATATAAGAGTGAACTCGTTAGCTGTCGTTTCCTAAAGTTCCAGCGACTTCACAAACAACTTCACGTTCGTGCATCAATCGAGTATATGCACTCTTGCAGTTTCACGATGCCGCGGCATATTATCCTCGGCAGTTCAGATCGTTTTCGGTTTTCGGATTAGTATACTCCGGCAGACGAACTGAAACGAAATCCCGGAGAAACCTCAATCCGCATTATGTTCCGCATCTGCTCGCGTTATTATACAGGATCCCGTATTTGCTGTTGGCCGATAGCGAAGAATAACGTCAGACAAGCCACTCGGCAGAGTTGGTTGCTCGAGGGAGAAGGAAGAAAAGGGGGAAGGGAATAACTTGCAGAGTCGGCCAGAAAGAAATTAGAAAGAGCAGATGGCCGTGCGACTTTTGAAAAATTATTTTCCGCGTCGACGAGCACTTTCTCCTCGGAGAAGCGCCTCGCGACGAATTCTTCGCGTTCCCCGTCATTCTCCGACAGCCAGCAGACGTAATTGGATGTCTCGACTTTGCCAGCTTACGACGGCTGAATCCTATCCCGGCTTGGCTGACGGTTAACCGATAATCACACGGACGATTCCACGAATTCATTAAGATCATTAGCCGGCGCGTCTTGGGAGTTTAATTGTCGTTGGCGAATCGTGTCTTACCGAATTACATTGATACGCGATTTATTTGTTCCATCTGAGAGGAGAGAATTATCTTGTTTAATATTTCCTTCACGTTCTTTTTATCTGAACATTTTGTGCGGATAATAACTGCATCGAATCCTTCAGCTTCCGATAATTGAAGTTTTCTTGTACTATTGAGTGATTTCACCAACTTCAATTTGGCTAAAAAAGATCACGAGGAGGTAACCACTGAAATATTGTCCCACAAATCACATGATTTTTTTTTTATTTTAGACGATTTCATTCGACGACAAATAATTTTCTTTACTATATATGAAGTCATTTGATAAAATAAATGATTTTATCTAATATTATACACAATTACTTCTCGTAGTTGCATATGTAATTATCGGATTATACATCGGGATTTCGTATGAATTTTACAATGATTTCAGAGGAACTCTGTTCTACCGTTACATTAAGTGATTACTTCCTCGAAGGATCATACAAGTCCACTTGTAATACGTTTAAAAAAGGTAGATATTCAAAATGCTTGTAGATTTTAAAATATAGTAGTTATTAATTATTAACAATCGTTTCCCTTATAGAAAATATTACCTTCGTGTTTTCGTTCACAGATCTTAGAAATCAGTATTCTGCTTTTCACTTAACAAACTTCAATCTCTACGCTTTTAATCCACCAATGGAAGCAAACGTAGTAAAGAGGGCGAAGTTGAAGAAAGTATCCAGCGAGCCAAACAGTTTTGTTGAACCAATTTAATCTCTTTCCTTTTTTGAAATCTTTATCAATCAGTCTGAATACCGAACGAGCGCAATAACCCGTTTCCATTCATTTTTTACTTTATTTTTTTCTACTGTTCAATCATCAGTCTATTGCAATATTTTTACCATAATACTTCATTTTGTTGTAATTTTCTTTCTCCCAAAGCATTGAACAGATACAATTAGTTCTTTTCTCCGATTTATAACCATTTTAATTAATCTTTTTATTATTATAATTTTATTATTATAATACCTTATTCTTTTATTATTTTAATAATCACCTAATTGTATTAACTTTCAACATCAGAATTGAAAAAATCCATACATAAAAAGAAGCACGCTTTATTTAGAATATTAGATCTTTTTTATATAGACGTCATATTGTCCTGATTTTATAGTTTTCCTTTTTTCGTTTCCTTCATGTTCACAGCTTCTCTCGAGATTCGCAATGCGAATCTCATTGAGGAATAAATTCCGATTGATTCTTCCATGACAGAGAAATGTTTCCTTGCGAGTTTGTCTTCATTTGACGATTTATTCAAAGCGCATATTTATCTTAAGAGCCGCCGGCCTAATGGCACGTTCCTAATGCCGATGCAACTTTAAACGTGAGCTACCCAACCGAATCGTTAATCCAATTTACTCCTCTGTGAGGAGTTGCCTGAAACTTTCGACCACACCCGTCCGACAAGCGTGGCGTGATCGGTTATTCGGATTAGCTTATGATAATCACCCTCGAAAGAACTTTGAACTTCGCACCAAAGTTTACATACTGAATATATGTGTTTCCCTCCTCGTTATTGAAACAGAGAGACTCTAATAAACATACGAAATGAAAATTTTAATTTTTCATCAGTGTAATATCAAAAACTTTCATTATTTCTTTAATTCTTTTATATTGATAATTTTTCTTCCGATATTCATGTTTAAAGAAGATATCTTCAAGTCATTTTTTTAAACTTATATATAAAAAACGTAACGTTTCAATAAACAGATAATTCGGATTTATTATCAGTTACATATTTCTTTCAAAATTTGTTTTATTTTATTATACAATAAATCGATAAAATTCGAAGTATGCAAGAGAGAAAAAGAGAAGAGGAAGAGAACGAAAAAGGAATACTAATGCGAGACGTGCAAAAGCGCAACACGTTTTCGTCACAATTTGAGATAAATTGGAAAATTCCAACGAAAACCGAGTTTTAATTTTGTCCATTCACGAAAAGCTATTCGAGATATAATAAAGTTGTGAATCGTATGTTAAAATTATTACATGCTTTTCGCAGAAATTGTTCGTCATCTTTCCTTTTTGCCATTTTGAAGAGTCCTTCGTAATTCTATTTCTTCGTTTCTAAAGAGACACTTGGCGAAAGATCGTCTGGGCAAAATGCTGCTTAAGAGTGATTGAAAAATTAAGAATCTCAGTTTTATCACGAAAGATTTCTTAATTTGGCTAACTGTGTAACATGGAAAATCAATCGCGATGAGAGCCGTAACTTGTCATATAATTGGAACAAACGTTCGAGATACTTTAGAAATTATCGAGAAAATCGGAATGCTGAAAGATTCGATTAAGATATAAAGAAGTAAAGCCCACCCATTCACCCGTTCGATTTCAATTGATTTGTCTAAAAGAAGTTATAATCTGAAACCGTGTTACCCTAATTTCGCCAGATGTTATTAATCACAATTCTCGTTGCAATTGCTCCTTATGCAAATATGTTTTTGCATCAGATTCTAGTTTACACGGTTCATTGCACGGATGTCAAATGTACAATACAAACGCATTAATTTGCATCACTGATAATTAATGCATCTGGTTTCAATATTAATGCACGTATTCTAACCGAGAATAGCCATCGTCTACTTGTTAATTAAATCGCAATGTTGCACTGTTGAATTATGCTCAATTAGATGCTATTTAACACCGTATTAAAAACTATTTCAAATGAGAACTATATTAGAACGTAATAAGAACTATTATTTATGAAAAGGAATGTTTCCTCATCATCGCACAAAAATAAGTTTTGCTTAAATATAAAAACTATTTAGTACATAAACTATTTTGATTTAATTACTATCATTTTTATTGAGCAAATATTTACTTAAATAAATGTTGATTGATATTATTCAAATAAATATTCATTAAAATGTAGTACATTTTTTTTCAGTGTAAAAATTGAACTAGATACAAATCTGAAAATAATTTTAGTGAACTATTGAAATAATTGTGTAGGACGCTCTAGCTTGATGAGCAGTACTAGAAAAAGTTTTGATATTTTAGTAACTAGTTTGAGTGTCCTAATAATTGTTTTGATAGTTTAACAAAATTATTTTTAGATCTATATCAAGCTAAATTTTTAAATACTTTGGCAAAACTTTCTTTCCATGCGATAATAAAATATTTTAAAATTAAAAAGTAAAACAGCGAATATATATATATATATATATATATATATAGATATATATGTACATAGAGGAGAAAATAGTATTATGGCATCCTAGTAACATTTTACACACTATTAATAAAAATGTGATGACATTGCATAATGACTCGAAGAAAGAAATGGATGGTAATGTAGCCTTCCAGAAAAATAGCCTTAAAATATTAGTTTTGTTTAGAAAATAATATTTGGTTACAAAATTACAAGAAAGTAAAACATTTTACAATGTATGCAAATGAATTTATGTATATTCATATAACGTCTGCATAGAGCTACAATCGATCATTAAATAATTATTTTGATATGAAAACTTCAAAAAAGAGGCCGTGATGAGTAATCAATATTCATAGAGGGCACATTAGCAAAATACCATGCTTGTTTAAATTTGTACAACTCAAAATATATACAGTCAAATAAAATGTTAAATAAACAACACACTTAAAAATACATATATTCGCGTGAAAATACGCTCAAGTTTAAGAAAAATGAAGAAATAGATTAAGTGCTAAAATGTGCCTCAGAATCGTTTCAAAATACTTGAAAGTAAAAATGCGTTATAATAAGTGTTGGCTTGAGTATTGCTATAACGTTATGTAACAGGGAATTATTGAACAAATAATTCCATAAATAATTAAGATTCGCTATATAATAGCAGAGATATTAAGAGAGGCAATATATACATTAGCCATAATATCACTTTCTTCTCTATAAATACCAGAACCAAAATAATATGAAAATTTACCATTCTGCGGGTACATATTTCGCCACAAGCCTTTTTTCGTGTTAATATTTGGTATCCGGAAGGTATATTCCAGGTCTCCAGATTCCTCACTCCACCACAGTTTCAATGAAGAATGTTCAAACGGTCTCAACTTCACAATCGGACAAAGGTCATTGCTGACAATGATATTGGTCTTCACTGGCTTTGTGGGATCGAGCTTGTGTTGCAGTACTTCTACGACGTACCATTTGTCCATTATCTGTAACGAAAGGTTTTCGTAAAATCAACCTGAAAAATTAATAATTGAATGGAACATATACCTACTAAGCGCTAAGTAGATAAAAATCGATATCTTTCCGCAAACATGATTTCCACTTGAGCCTCAATTCCCAGGATATTTGAGATATTAAAAAGTTGAAGAGAAAAAAAAAATAAGATTCTAGCTCGGAAAAAAATTGGTTCGAGATCGGTTAAAGAGCTTGCAAAGACGGAAGAAAGTGCAGAGATACCGAGTATGTGCGCGGGGGAGTAATCCAGTAACTTTGGCGAAAGTAGATATAGATAATACCGTGAGAAGCTTAAAGCAAATTACGGACAATTTATTGGCCGCGCGATCGTTAGTGATTAAGTCCATAGAAATAATATCGTCGAGAGTCGAATATAACCACCGAATTCCGATCGACATAATGCGCGCGGGATTTCTTTTTTATTTTTTTAGCCCGATCATTTCAATTTTATATCTCCATGAAATCTTTTATACCTTTAATCGGATTGTGCCGGATAATGCTGAATCTCATTTAAAAGTAGTAGTCTATATATTTTCGTCGGACTTATCTTTTATTATCCGGAATGTTGATTGATCTCTCAATTTCGCGACTTCTTGCATCGCGGGTCTTATGATAAACAACAGCAGCGAATCTTAAATAGAACATTATATAATAGTTGCGAACATTGCCCGCCAAGGGAATAAGATGTTCGTCAATCTTACTCGTGACTCTCCTTAGTGACGTTGACCGATGCTTTTAGAAAAGTAGAGAGGCCAAAAGTTAGGCGTATAAAGAATTAGTCTCAACAAAATGTTGAGAAAATCAGACGCCTATTCATCTCCGTTGTAGTAATAATAGCGTCAAATAGGGCAGATTACAAAATCGGTCCCAGAGTATCTCATAAAAGCTAATCTTGACAATTCTTCTCGTGTAACGCGGTGATTTTGTGAAGAAACTCGATCTTCAGAAAGCGCCAATTCAAAGGCCAATTCTCATGGAATGTAATAAATGTAGTTTTTACTCATTACGTTATCTAGGGGAAAAACTCGCTTTAACTGTCGGTTTAATTTATGCGCAAAGTCGCATATTACGTGCAAACATAGGTAATTGTTTATTCAATTCCCTCGTATATTAAACATGATGCTAATGTACCCACTGAAAGCGCTTAGGTCCGAAGTTGATGTACAGTGGTGATGCAGATTATCAACTTGTTGAGCTCAGATGGTACGATACTCGGTTTTGCCCGCGGGAACCAGCTAAGGAGAGTTCGTTGAACAATGACTATAATAATCTTTGCAGAGGTCCGAGGTCCATAAAGGCTTCTCTGCTTTGTCTTTGTGATACCAGTGAATTTCAGTCTAGCGCAAACGTGTTTTGTTGTTTCAAGATTAATCAAGAATATTCATAATAAATGCTATGCGCAAAATGCGCCATTTTTATTAATTTTGTGCTTCTTAGAATTTTATCTATTTTATCATTTTTCTTTTTAAATTTTTATAGAGGGAGAAAGAGAATTTGTCGAAATTTCTTTATGCTCAATTAGTTATTCGAAAAATACAGACATTCGACATTTCTTACCACATTTTCACAGATCGAAAAATCTTCAGCGAAAATGACATCCGGTAATTTTGAAGCACTTTGTACGGACGAATGAAATGGCCAAAATAAAAGTAGACGCGGTTTTCGTTTTTGCTGAGTAGATACGTGCATATTGCATCCATGTACGTGTGTACGTGCGTACACATTTCTGCTTTATTGTACCGGAAAAGCGCCGTAAATCATTGTCGTCGAGGTGTATGTGATACTGGGTCACATAGCGTGGTCGGGGGATTAAAATTAACGAGATAATAAATATGGCCTTTGTCGAATAGCCCGCAAAAAATTTCAATTGTCGTTTCGTGGGAATCTCGTTGCATGAACAATCGCGGTCGTTTGTTTGAAACTGTGTTATTTTTCCTTTTTTTTTTTTAACAAATGTCGCGACTATGTGCAAACGATGTTATTATTAAATGGAACTCAGAAACTATGATAACATAAAATTTACGTATAAACTTAGTTCTTTTCTTCTGAATTAGGAAAATTAGTAAATTAAATTATAGAAAAAAATGAATAATAATTAAAAAATAAAAAATTCTCATGAATTCTCATAATTTCTGTAACGTTGTACATTATAAAAATATAGCGCCTTTAGCAAAACTGACATTTTTTAACAGCGACCAATTATTTTGTTTGTACAATAAAAAATTTAGTTACTTCTGCTCAATACACTTCAGCTTTTTAAATAACAAAAATATTTGTTTATGCCAATTAAATAGTTTAATTTATAAGCAAACAAAGTAATAAAACAGGTTAGTTTGCGGTTAAATATTTTGTATTTTAATCAAATATTTTATTGTTAGTAAAATATTTTTCCTAGTATAACAGTAGGTTATGCTGTTTTGTTCTGTGAAATTTAAAATAAGCCGAACCAAAATATTTGTTTATACTAACTAAACTGCTTAATTGGAATAAAAAAATATTTTTGTTATACTTTGTTTAAAAAGGTGAAAAGTATATTTATTAGAAACAATCAAATTTTTTTATTATATAACTTAAATATTTGGTTTATAAAGATTATGCATTTTGCGGATTTTCTTAAGACGAATAAGAAGCGACATAAATGTAGTATCAGCTCCTCGCCCTGATGAAATGGACTGCAAGGTTCACGAAACGTTGGCATTCCAAGAATGGATCTGGACACGGAGAAAATCCACAAAATGCATAATTTTTATATAAAAAGAACCCGTGGAAGCCTCAAGAATATTAAATATTTGGTTGTTGTTGCTTAGTTGTTAAAAAATGCCTCAACTAAACAGTTTTGTTAAAAGAATTAAATTTTTTTTCTAATATGTGTGACTTTATCAAATTTTTTAAATATGCTCAACGTGATATTTTAGTATAGTATATAAGAGACAACGATAAGAAAAGATAATAGAGATAATTTTAATTTTGCACAAGGATCTTTATAAAGTTTTCTTCACTTTAAAAAATGCTGACTACGTTATTAAAGTTTGTATAAGCTTGTCTTGTTGGTCTTTATGTCGCTTCTTATTCGTCTTAAGAAACCCCGATATGCATCCGATAATAAACTTTGCCGAGTTGCTTTATTATTCAGTCTTGTAAATAAGACATATAATGCCGAGATAGCCGTATGTTGAAATTAAGGAAAGTTTAATCAGTACCTATCAACTTGAAAAAGATGAGACCATAGAGCGCTCACGATAGATAGCCCGCATCGTCATCGCGTTAGTCTTGTAATTTATATCGCTGACAATGGTTGAATAAACACAAGCCTTCATTCAAGTTACGAAAGTAGTTGGAAAAGTTTAATTGATATTTGGTAGCCAATGCAGCCATTATCGCGTGTAACGCGATTACATTACACGTTCGCTTGGACACTTCCGATTAGCCACTAAACTACGATGAAAGACACTTATAAATTTTGATTTAGTTTGGATGTTCGCGTAATATAACACAAGATTTAAGAGAATCGTGTGTGAAATATTATTAATTAAAAATATAAGAACGCGTAAAATGTAATAAGTATACGAATAAAAAAGTTTAAGAAATTATAGACATCAATTAAATATACTTATAATATATCAGAAAAAAATCATCATCTCTTCCAATTAATTGAATAATTAATTTGATAATTTATATTAATTTGTTTTTTTTAATGAGCTTTTTCTAGTATATACATACCTCGTCTTTCATTGTTTGCTAGATTCATTTTGTTAATTACTAGATTTTCAACATAATTTCTATTAATTTATGAAAATTTTGCAGGTTTTGCGGTCATAAAATATATTCGGTAATGAAAAATTATATTATTTGTTGGATTAACTGATATATTCACCGTGGCATTTCGGACGACGCGAATGTAATAAATGTATTTTTTGCGAATTGAAAGCACATCACCGACGTGAAATGGTATAACAATCGCGCAGGGCTTTAAAAGCCCAGTGTTCCGAATAATCTTATATCCCTTTAGTAGATTTAACGTTCATTTATTTTAACCAGCAGTTTTTCATGTGGGAAGATTCGCCGCATAAAATCGGATAAAAACCACCGCCAGGCCACAACGATTTTAAGCTCGACGCATTGCCAAACTAAATCCGCGCTACTTGTGCAAAAGTCTATTTAAAGACACCTACAAAAAGGATTTTATCGTCCTCTTTTTTCACATAAAAATATAGTACAATCTATGTTATAACTAATTCACAATGTAGTAATCAATATATTTAATTTTTTTATTTTAAGAGCTAATTCATTTCACGTTTGCATTTGAAGCCTCGTTTTCTTCCTATTTAATATCCATAATTAACGCTATTATAACTAATTCACAATGGCAATCAATACATTTAATGTTTTTTTTTTATTTTAAGAGCTAATTCATTTCACGTTTGCATTTGAAGCCTCGTTCTTCCTATTTAGTATTCGTAAGGCTAACGATTAATACGAGGCACGTTGAGCATTCAGTGTAATAATTCTTGGTGTCCAAAGAATTACCGATGACCCTGCACAAATTCGCAAATTATAATTACAAACCGAATAATATACATGCGTTTTGTCTGGACACGGCGACACGCGAGGATAAATTTTCGTTTATTAGACACAACCGGACACCCGGCACGGACGCGCTTCGTGACTTATGCATTCGCTATCGTAACAAGAACGTCAGCGTTTTCACGAGAATATTGCAGTAATTAGTAGCAAGGTAAATTACCGTGCGCGTACGCTAATAGCGGGTAATTTCCGAAATAGTAAAAAAAGAAGGGGGAGGGGGGGGGGGTAGAAAGCGACGTGACGCGTGTTTTTTCCGAGTTCTACCTCGTTTCAGTTGCCTCATCGATCACGCGGTGAAAGAAAGAGAGAGCAGCCATCCAAAAAATATATATTCGACTGCCTAAACTCGGTTCGCTGCTCGTATATTTCCTCACGCTTCGAAAACTCT